AAAAACACGTAGAAAAATTCTCAGAGAGAATCTCCCTCCTGAGATGGGAGGGAGTCCTTTTATATCAGTGGGGGAAGTTATCTGGTCTCAGTTCATGGGTCATTTGTGTGATGTCATATCTGGATAGACAGGGAGTATCCATATCACTATCCTGACAGATCAGCAAGGTCAAATCACTGACTCTACTTCATGCTCTTCTTTCTTTGGGGCCTGCTTCAGAGCTGAGGAGGGATGTTGGGGGCCTGACTGACATTGTTGGTTAGTCACTGGGGTGTAGGATCTTGAGGCATGGAAGCTCTGAGTTGCATTTTGGAGCTGGGAAAGGGTGGTTATCACAGACAGCACTGTGACATGTTTTCAGGGGTGTGAGGCAGGCACTGAAGCTGATGGTGATGGTGATATTCCTAAATGTCCAGACCCAAAGAAAGCATGTGACTTAAGGTCATCTGGACTTAAGGTCACAGAGTCCAAATCCATTATTGCTCTCTCAAGGTTAAACAACAGGATATTTAGCTTAAGAAGTAACTAATGGATGCTTTACTTTAACAACAGGATACTTAGCCTAAGGTGTAGTTATTGAGCATCTTGTCTAGACAACAAGATATTTGGTTTAGGGTGTGGTTACTTGATGTTTTGAGTATTGAGAAGGTAATTATGCTTGCTTGTTCTTTGTACCTTGGTAAGGAAATCCCTTTGCCTTCTCCCACTTTTGATTGGGGTATATGTGTGTAATAAACGTGGGGCTTTTCCCCCAGTATTCACTGGAGATGCTCTCCTGACTCTATCCTGATTTTTCTTTAGAATCTATAATTTTTCTACCTGCCATTTATTAATTCATATGCTTCCTTCCAAGCACAGACCAAACGAGTCTCCAGAACATGGGATTCTACACCTAAAACCATCTAGAGCCTACTTGTCTGCAATTTGGAAGATACCAATCACATCAGAATATTAAGGAAGCAAGGGCCAAGAAAAGAGAATTATGCTAGCAGATAGATCTAGGTGAGACACTAACCAGGACAGCCTATGACTTCCCATAGGAGCCAGCTCTCAGAGGCTGCTCCTCTTAAATAATGTTTGGCTTTTGGGCTTTTAGCTGCATAGTGCACTCCAGTGAGGCAAGTAAGACTCTAGACTGCCATACTTAGGAGACCAATAGCTCAAGACTACACCCTCGACTGGTGAGCAAGGAGATGATGTAAAGGAACAAAATATATGTTTAGATTCACTCCAGGAGGGTTCACTGGCAATGTATATGGAGGGATACAGCTTTTGGGTTCATCTGAATGAAGAATCTGGATAACTGCTAGAGTCCATTAGGAGTTAAAAGTAGTCAAAGTCAGCAAGGGAAAGTATTGCTTAAGTGGATCACAGATGTAGTTGAGAAGGTGGTAAAGGGAGATAACAGGGTTAAGAGTCCTAACAGCGACACCATGTGGTGATTCCAGGAAGACAGGATAAGAGGTATGTAACCTCAGGGACAACAGCTATTCCAACAGTGAGGGTGAGGAGAAACCCTAAGCAGAGTAGGAGTGGGGCAGGGGAAGGGTGGCAGGAGAAAATGCATCAAGATTAACATATGAAAGAATCCAGTTGACAGGAAAGACTGGAAGGGCTGCTCGACGTGGACTTCATAGTCAAGCAGAGTACAATACAAACATGAGACAGGCAGGGGCTATATAAATGACCTCTAAAGGGTCATGAGACTCAAGGCCCGGTGCTTGGGGGTGTGTGGCTCACTAGCACACTGCTTTGGGGGGCTTGACTCACTGCACACTCACATTCCCTGGAGCAAAACCTTTGTCTTTCTAACTGTCTGTTTCTGTATCTAGCCACGTTTCCTGTAGCACACACTTCAGCCTGTGGCCTGGGACTCAGGTCCATGCCTATAACAGCTGGTGAGCCAGCCAGAGAGAGGCAAACATAGGATGCTTCTCAATGTTTCTGTCTCTCTTAACCAGGGGCCCCGTGTGCTATCATTCCTCTTTTCCTTGAGCAACTGGAGATGATGGGCAGACTTCCACAGGAGATGAAGGAAGTGTGGCCTTGAGAAGTCAGATTCAGTTTCTTCTCTTCCTTTCCCCAGTTGTAGGTGCCCTATGGCCCCAAGAGTATACCTGGTCTCCTGCCTCTCTCTACTGAGAGATAACTTCAGGCAAAGAAGTATACATTAGCCAAGGACAGCTGCCAAGACCACCGTTGGAATTCAGAAGCAGGGCTGAGATGATGACTCAGCACCTAAGAACCTTGCTGTTCTTGCAGAGGGCCTGGGTTGGATTCCCAGTGCCCACATGGAAGTTCACAGTTGTCGGTAGTTCCAGTTTCAGGGAATCTGTCACACTCTTTTGGCTACCTTGGGCACAAGGCATGTACATGGTGATATACATGTAGGCAAAACACCCATACACATATGATAAAATGCATCTGAAATATTGACTTACAGGTTTAGCCTCCTTAGTAGATTAAACTACTCATTTAGATGAGTTCACCTTCAAGGTGAACATCAATTTATCAATACCTTACATTTCAAATCAAAACATTGCTCCAAATAAAGCTAAGATCATGGCAGGCTCAAATTTAGGCCAACAATTGTATATATTTCAACATGTTGGCTAAACACAGCCCTGTGGACAGAGAAAACATGTAACCCCATTTTTCATTGTGTAACCAGAATTTGAAAATGCAATTTAAAGATTTCTAGGAAAATAATCAAATTTTATATGTTTTCAATTCCATTTTCAGTCCACATAAATACCAGTTTTCAAGCAGAATGCACCAAGACACAATGTGACATTTAACCTAAGAAAAATTTTAGTTAAATCTCTTTACTCAGCTTTTTCAGGTCCTGTCTCTCCAGACACAAATATCCCTCCATTCCCAGTCATGATCTATTTATGTCATTGCTTGTTGAGTAAGTTTTTTTTTTTTGTTTTTGTCTTGTTTTGTTTTTTTCAAGACAAGGTTTCTCTGTGTATCCCTGGCTGTCCTGGAACTAGCTCTGGGGGTGGCCTTGACTTAATTGATCTGCCTGCCTCTGCCTCAGTGGTTCTGGGATTGAAGGTGTGTGCCACCACCGCCTGACTGAGCAAGTATTTTTGAGAATGAAGTACATTTAGTAAAATTAGAACCAAAATACCTGGCAAGCACCTGTGAGCTCACAGTCACAACTATTACACTTCCATCTAAGCTCTGTTGATGCATTAGATCTCCAAGTGCAATGCCAAACATCACACTAGGTTGTTGCCCTCCTTGTCTCCTTGTTTTAGTTACATTAAAAAAATAATCCTGAAAAAGTGAACTTTTATTTCTTACATATGTTCACTGGGACGGGGGGGGGGGGGCAGGGGGTGTTAAAATTCTTGGACTTACTTAGTGATTTTATTTTTAAGACTGGTTTCTTTGTGTAGCCCTGGCTGTCTTGGAACATACTCTTTAGCCTAGCTTAGCCTTGAACTCAAAGATCAGTCTGCTTTTGCCTCCCAAGTGCTGGGATTAAAGGCGTGCTCTGCCATGCTCAGCTCTGCTTGGTGATTTTAAGATAGCTACGAACAAGCACGGCATGGTTAATAGTGTTATGTGAGGACTTTTTCCTTCTCTTCAGGGGTGGATATGTGTAGGAAAGTAACACACAGCCCCCCAACCCCCTTTCTCGTCAGCTTTTGAATTTGTACATTTAATGGGCGGCCCAGTGTGGGACAGAGAAACTCATACGATTGGACAGCCCGGCCTTTGTATGAACCACCACTAGGTGGAGCTCTAGGGTTTCCTGAAATGGAAAGGACTGCAGCGGTGTCCTACATGAACTGAGTTTGTCTTTTATCTCTGTCCTTTCCCAGTTTGGCCCTTCAGGCTGGCTCTTGGGGTCACCTCCTGGTCACCAAAGACCTTGAAGTACACATCTAGTAAAGAAGTCAAAGGAATCTAGGGCTCTTTGGTCTAGTTTCTGAAGCTTTTGCCCAGTATCAGGAGAGGCTTGGCTTATAAAACCTCCCACCGAGAATGGCACCCTCAGGATCCAGATATGTATATTTGAGCGTGGTTTCAGCTGGCATAAATTGAAGAGATCTGGGTTTTCAGTGACTTAGCTTACTAAAATTAAGGAGTTTTATAATGGCTTTTCCCCCCATTCCATCCAGTAGACAATTATATAGTTTTAGTTGGACCTTCCCTGATCATTTCTTTATGTAAGTGGTCTGGTAAGACCAGCAGGGTTCCATGTCAGGCTAGACAATGGAGCTGGCCAGGCTGTAACTGAGAGATTCAGTCTCATCAGTCCAGGCTCACAATGAAGATAAGACTTGCATTCGGCAAGCAGCTAGGGGGATATAAATATTCTTCCGGGTCAAATCAAAAGTGAGTTCTTGAAATCACTTATTGAAGGTCAAGGAATCATAGCTATATCCTTTCTTGGGTTGTTTGGGACAGTAAAGACATAGGCAAGAGAACATGTATCAAATGGTGCCACCTAGTGAAGGAAAGTCTATCTTCTGCAGAATAGGACCACAGTTTTTAATTCTTCCCTAAGTTCCCTGTATGAAGTTCCTAAGAGAGTGTGAGGGACAGAGGGTATCTAGGAGGGGAGGGGCTCACTGGTTGCAAGGGGGTAAGTCTTGGTCTTATCACACTGACTCCTAAGGCATGCCTAATCTGACTTTAAAGGGAAATTATACAAACAAAACTTACTTCGAATGCTGGATAGTTACCTGAAGGTCTCTTGGATCAAGAAGTCTGGTTCAGAGTGTGTGTGTGTAGGGTTGGGGGACACAGACAGAAGACACAACCTTTATCAGTCACATGCTCAGCTTGCTACTGGAGTTTTTAGGTCAAAACCTAAGCCTAGCAGCCTTAACAAACTAGGCTCAACCATCCACCCTCAACAGACAATCAAAGAGATAGCCAATAGTGCAAAGCAGAGAAAGGAAATTTATTCTATGTGCCTACTAGAAATAGGAACAAAGAGATCCAATTAACTAGGCAGGGTTTTCCTGAGGAACAGAAGCTACAGTTATAACAGGATTTATTTAATTGGTTTACACAATAATAGCCTGTCATCCAAAGATTGTTGTCTATACACTGAAAACACAGAGAACCACGTAGCTGTTCAGTCCAACGGCCTAGTTCCCGCAAAAGTCCCAATATGACACTGAAAGCCTCGGAAATCCCTGGAGAATCTTTGGATGTCAGGGAAAACGGTGGCAGCAGTGACAATAGGGATAAATGCACTCATGCAAACCTTTTCCTTACACCTCTTCTGGGCTCTGTGGAAAGTGCCACCCAGTCTGGGGAAGAGTCTTCTCCCCTCAGTTAACTCTTCTGGAAATGTTCTCACAGATATGCTCAAAAGTGTCTTTCAGTTGATTTCAGAACCAAGCAAACTGACCATCAAGATTAACCATCCTAGGCTGGAGACTTGGCTTAGCAGGTAACAGTATTGGCAGCTTTTCCAGAGGACCCAGGTTCAAATCTCAGCAACCACAAGATGATTTACCATCTTCTGCTTCATGTATGCGGTGTACCTACATACATGCATCACAAATATTCCTGCGCATAAAGTAAAAATAAGTATTTAAATACTTATCATATTATCCACTGATACCTTAAATCCATCTTTGGGGTACTGACATAAGGTCAGAGTTTGGTGGTGTTACTTATTTTTTTTTTTTGAGACAGGGTTTCTCTGTGTAACTTTTGATGCTGTCCTGGAACTCACTCTGTAGACCAGGCTGGCCTCAAACTCACAGAGCTCCGCCTGCCTCTGCCTCCCGAGTGCTGGGATTAAAGCGAGTACCGCCACCATCACCTGCCTTCATTATTTATTCAGTTGTTTTCGAGACAGTATTACTGTGTAGACCTGGCTGGGTTAGTGTGTAAGCATGAGGACCTGAGTTCGGTCTCTAGTGCCAAGAAAAGCTGGGATTGTGGTGGCACTCGTAATCTCTGGATGGGGAGAAGTGTGGCAAAATAACCCTAGCCTAGCTGAGGTCAATGCATGCCAAGTTCATTGTTCATTGAGAAACCTGTCTCAAAACCTGGTGTGAGGAAGACACATGAACATGCACCAACACTCACACAGAAGAAAAACTATTCCTAAAACGAACAAAACCAAAGCAAAACAAAAACAGTTAACTGAGTTGTTCTTGAAGGGATCTTAGCCCACATGAGCATGTGGCTCTGGCAGACCTTGCCCTCTCCCCAGTTCCCTCAGCCTTGCTAAAAAACAGTTAATTACTTTCCTGGTCTATTTCCTCATTTGGCCACTTCCTCCTCCTGAGACTGACTACCAAGGTCCAGCTATTAAGTACTGAAGTCCAGCAATCAGAAGCCCCCTTTGGCTCACCTAATTAAAATTAAATATCCATCCTAACACAGGGTTTCCCCTCGTGCCTTTATAAACTGCTGTTTTCTTGTATAACATCTGTCTCCTCTTTATCCAGAGCTGGTCCTTTGTCCTCAGGGACAAATACCTCTGCCCCTTTCCCTTGCTCCCCTCCCCTTCTCCCTAGTCCTCTACTTCCTATCTCTGTCCCTTCTCCCTGCCGTCTGTCCCTCTGGGGCAAAGAAATCTTTGTTCTGAGAACTTGGTCTTGTAGGTCCTGAGCCATACTTCTCCTTTCAGAAGGCAGGAAATTAACAGTTAACTGTTGAATTTGGGTCCGAAGAAAAACTGATTATTGGAGGATTTCACTTTGGCCAGAACTTACTAAAATGTTAACTAATTGAAGTTAATTTTCAGCTTTCTTCCTAATGGAATGATTTGTGTCTGGTGCTGATAAACATTAATGTGGAAAGTGCCAAATATCTGCCACATTACAATATTAATGCTGGAAACTAAGACTAAAAATTCTATTAGATTATTGCTACATGTTTTATAATTATAAAATTACAGTGGGTATGTCCTCAACATTTTTGTTTCTTTGCATTCTCTGTGTTTGGATTAAAAAACAAATAAACAACAACAAAAACAGAAGACTATAATCACTTCAGCCTTTCTCCTCATATGGCAAAATCTCAAATAACAGAACCCAGCAAGATAAAAGCCCTGTGTGATTTGAATGTGAAATTTCCCTCAGGCTCAAATGTTTATCACTTGGTGTTGGAGGACTGTGAAAACTTTAGGAAGGGAACCTTACTGAAGGAAGTGGGTTAGTAGGGGTTGGTCTTGAGGGTGTATAACCTAGCCCCATTTCCTGTCATCTCTCTGCCTCATAACTGTGGACACAATGTGACTAGTTACTTCATCTCCCTTCTTAAACTGTGAACCCCAAATCCCTTATATTTTCATCATGTATTTTATCATAACAGTGAGAAAAGCAACAAATACAATCACAGATGATTCAACAGCACCTAAATAGCTCAAAAGAGCCTCCAAACCAAGCCTGGAGATGCATCAACTGGAGAGAAATTAACAAAGGTAAGACATTATCAAGAGTCCAAAACAAGAGCTGGAGAGATGGCTCAGGGGTTAAAAGCACTTGCTCTTGTTGAGGACCTGAGTTTGATTCTCAGCACCCACTTTAGGTGGCTTACTACTGGCTGTAACTCCAGTACCAGCAGAACCAACTCTCTCTTTTGACTACTGTAGGTACCTGTACATGCATGGTATACGTAAGCTCATACAGGAACATACATATACATTTAAAAAACCCTTTATTAACACTGCTTACCTAAATAAGGGCAGAAATTTAAAATGTTGTTACCAGTAGTTATCCCTTAAAATGATAAATAGATGTGCCTTATGAACCAACAATTCCATATCCTAGGAACTCAGGCAGGTAAGCATATAGTCAACACAAAATTATTCAAAATAATCAAGCATCTTGTCTACCAACATATAAATGGATAAACAAAGTTTAGTGTGTAGACACACACATACATACATATATATACATATAAATGTATATGCATATGTATATATATATTCACATTATTCATCTATAGAAAGGAATGAAGTTCTGGTACTCCCTACATCATGGATGAATTTTGGCAACCAGATTATCAAGGTAAGTAAACCAAGTCAAAATACCACACTCATATGAAAAACAATATATAAGTCATTGGAAACAGAAAGCAGACTAGAAGTCATCAGGTGTGATACTTGGCTTTAACTACCAACTTGATACAATCACTTGGGTAGACAGTCTCAATGAGGGATTGTCTAGATCGGATTGGCCTGTGGTCATATCTGAGGGAGATTGTCTTGAATACCCTAATTAATGTGGATAAACCTAGCCTGAATGTGGGCAGCACTTCTCTCTGGCTTTGGGCCCCTGACTTTAGAAAGACAGAAAACTAGCTGTGTAGTAAGTGTAAGCATGTAATTCTCTCCGTTCTTGACTGTGATATAATGTGACTAGCTGTTCTAATTTCCCGCTGCCTGACTTCCCTGCTTTCCCTGCTATGATGTACTGTAACCTGGATTGCTAGCTAAAATAAATCCTTTCGCCCCTGCTTTTTTTTTTTCAGGGTATCTATCACAGAAAAGAAACTAGAGGATTAGAGGAAGGAAGAATGGAGAGTTATTATTTAATGGTATATGACTCTGAGATAACTCAAGTAAGAAAGAGGTCCATTTGGCTGATGATTTCAGAGGTTTGAGCTCAAGATTAGCTGTCTCTGTTGCTTCCTGGCCTGTGAAAGGTTAATTATCTTGGCAGAGAGCGGGTGGGAGGAGCCTGCTGCACCTCACAGAGGCATGGAACCAAAGAGAGAGGAGACAGTGCCAGGGTTCCCACATTCCTTCAGTGGCATATCCCCAATGATCCAACTTCTTTCCACAGGTACCTCCTACAGCTTCCAGCACCTTCCAAAAGTGTTATGGCCTGGAGACAAACCCTCAGCATGTGGAACTCTAGGGACGTACAAGTTATGTAATGGGAAGAGTTTTTGTTTGGAGTTGTGCAAAGGTTTCGGAAATTGGTCATACTAGTAACTAAAGATTGTGAATGTAAGTAAAGCCACTTAATTTGACACATAACACACACACACACACACACACACACACACACACACACACACACACACACCCCTAACCAAACCTCCACCCCAAAATAGGTGGACACTTTTTTCTGTGTTGTTATTTTTGGGTTTTTGTTTGTTTTGTTTTTGGAGACAACGTCTCCTTAGTACAGGCTGGTCTTGAACTTGTGATCCTCCTGTTTCAGCCTCCTCATACACCTGGGATAACAGGCTAGCACCATCACGAGCAGTTTCTCATCTATTTGAAAAGGTCCATTGCAGGATACTAGGAATTAAAGCAAAGAGCTTGGGAAGTGTTCTTGGGGAAATAGAAATCACAGATGGGCTGCAGCAGCACAAAACAGCAGCCTGGAAACAGACAATTCGCCTGAAGTGCCTAGCAGCTTCAGTGTCGCCAACAGCAGCACTGGTTCCAACACTTTCCATCTTCTAAGGGAGGCCCTTGACCTTGTAACATTTAGTTTTAACTCTATTTTATTTGGACCAATATATATCCTTTCCATACTTTCCCCCACTGATGATATCTGGCAAGTGTCTTACCATGGAGTGATACTGACAGGGAAGCAAAGAATTCATCCCTCAACACAAAGGTTGTTTTTATAGTCACAGCCATTTCCCTTCCTAAATCTTGGCAACCACTACTGATTCCCCATTCCCGTAATTTGCTCTTTCGGGAAACAGAATCATGAAGTTCATAACTTCTGGGGATTGGCTGTTCTTACTGTGGGAAATTCCCCGCGAACTGGAGCAGGGTGTATTCACAACTCATCCCTGTTTGGGGGCGTTTTGTTCTGCTTTACCCGGATATGTGCAGCGGCTGTGCATGATAAAGTACAAGGCAAGGAGGGCGCCTCTACCCTTCTTCCAGCAAGGAGCCAAACTGGTCCTGCCCACAACTAATGGATTCCAGCGCTAACCGGTAACAGGATAGGGACAGGGAGACTTGGGGAGGCAAGACTGTCCACTAATCCGGCAGACAGGCCCGAGTGGGAATTGTGGGTGGGCAATTATTGCCCATAGGCTGCCGAGGACAGTGTGAGGGCGGGGTGAGGGGCGGAGCCCAGCGGGGGGAGGGGAGGGAGGAAGCTGCCCTGAGTCCCAGAGCGCAGTCGTGGTGCCTGCTGGCACGCTTAGGCGTTCCTGCTCTGGAATCTGAAGGTGCAGTGCTCCCTCCCGGAGGCCGAGGTGAGAGTCAGTTTCACTGCTTCCCTGGAGCTTGCATCTCCTTCCTGCAAGCGACCTTGGGGATTGGGGGAATGCTGGACCGAAGAGGCCCCTTCTGGTTTTTAGCTTGCGAAATAGACCGTGGATTCCTGTCTCCAAGGTTCTTTGCCTTTCCTGAAGTACCAGCAGACGATACCACATTAGACCCAAGTCCTGCTTAACAAGAGCGGTGACATTTTGTCCGCCCACTTCTGGATAGAGAGCAGCTGCGGGTTTGCATATTTATTACCAAAGGGTAAAAGTCAAAACCGAGCCCAGAGCCGAGTTTGTTCCCGCTGCCTTCCCTTAATCCTGGCGCCTTCAAAAGCAGCTGCGGCTCACTCTACGACTCTGGCTCAAGAGAAGTATCAGCTTCTGGAAATACTAATGTGAAATTATCAGTTCAGTAACCTCTAATCTCTGGAAATCTCAGAGATACAGAAAACTGAACGCGTGTGGATCTAGAAACCTCTAGTAGAGTGAAGTATAGATAGGCATGGGGGGATTGAGAAGATAACCTAAGTGAACACAGAAGGCATGCGGCGATGATATATATATATATATATATATATATATATATATATATATATATATATATATATATATAACTGAAGGATGGCATGTTAACTTAGAATGACCACCATAGAGTCTGCCTGTGTAGAAGAAAGAGGATATAGTCAATGATACAGTGAAAATATCAAAATAGCTGCTGGGTGTTTGTCTCTAAATATCAGCCCATTTCATGTGGCTTGTTGGTTAACAACCACAGCCTCCCACCAAAAACAAAACACCTGGGTAACCTGTAGTTTCCACCTAAGGAAAGCTATCAATCATCCCTGTGCCTGAGAGTGAAGAGCCCTGTCAGACGGCTTTCTCTCTGTTCCTTCCCACTCCTTATTCTAGGAGAGTTGAGTAAGAGGAAATTCAACTCTGATGCACACACCCGCCCTCCATTTACTGTAAGTGTGTAGACCGAGCTGAGCCGTACAGCTAGGGATGGTGAAGCAAGGGAGGCTGAAGAGACAGTGTAGTGTGCCTAGGGAGCTGCAGTGGCCCGGGTCTCTCACTTGGGGAATCTCAGGATGAATTTTGCTCCTCTGCAGTGGCCCTGGGAGCCTCTGAAAAAGTATATCAGGCCATGTGGCTCTCTGCTTAAGGTCTTCTGTAATTCTTAGGATAAAATTTTTACCCTGCCCTATTTACTTGGTCATTTCCCATCCAGTTTCCTGGCTGCATCTCTGACCACTCACTTCAAACCACAGCCCAGCTAAATAACCTTTCTTGAAGTTTCTTAAACTCTCCAAGTCAGCTCCCACTGGATCCTTACTTAATTGCCCACCTGCCTGCCTGCCTGCTTGGAGTCTCTCTTGCTCCAGGTTTGTGCATGGCTGGCTCAATATCACCATTTATTCACTGTCTCTCTTCTGACCACCCCCTTGTGTAATGAGTAGCCAGAGGAAATCTGGGCTTGTGGTGTCTAGGTAATGTTTAGTGACTCTGAGATATGAGAAAGTCATCTGGTTAGTGCTCTGCCTGAGATGAAGCTTTTGATATGCTCTGTAAACATGCAGTGTAAACCTTGGGAGGAACTTTGACCTCCTTCTCTAACCCCTCTAGTCTTAAGGCACAGCCTTTTCACAAGGCATTATAAGGAGGGGTACCCTTAGCACTTCAGCTCACAAGAATTTAACTTGCAAATAGCATTCATCAGAAAAGAAAATACTTGGCACTGACTTCCCAGGAGGTCAAGGTCAATTCTGATTTTTAAAAGGAGACACTGTACCCTGGAGAAGATTTCACCCAGCATGGAGCTTTCCACCCGTTGACCCAGCATAACCCTCAATGTCTTCCAAAAGCCCTCAGCACCTAGCATGACACTACTATCACCTGATGAAGATTTAAGACAGAAAAAACACCTCCACTTTCCTCAAAGGCTATGCTTGAATAAATAAATCCATTTTCTCCCGCCAGTCCTGTAGAGCAGCATGTACTATGAGCATGGTGACACTGATTGGTTTCATATGTAATGTGGCAAACATCTTCCATCCCAATAAAGTGTTCGTCAGGGTATCACTGCTGCCACAGTCACTGGCACTTTCCACTGTCTAGGCTCCGTGCTTGCTTTGCCGGCCTGTTGACTGTTCACTGTCTTTCCACTATCAAAGAGTATGTAGAAAGCTCAGTTCTCCTTGTGTGGCTCACGTCTGTGTCTCAGCACCTCATTCTGTACCACACCAGCAAGCTGCTTCACCACCTGGTTATTGTAAATAAAGCTTCTATGGATGTGAATGAACGAATGAATGAATGAATGAATGAATGAATGAATGAATGAATGGGTCTGTCCCAAAATCCTGCATCTCGATAGCCCAAGAGCCTCAAAACCTTTTAAGTAGTAAGTAGTCTGGGATGATCTTGAATTCCTGATCCAGGATTACTGGCATATTCTACCACACCCCAAGCCCTCCTGGGATCCTACTTTGATTCTTTTGAGCAGATAATCAGAAGTGCAACTACAGAAGAACATAGAGATGTCCTATTTAGTTTTAAGGAGCCTCTTAGTTGCTTTCCATAAAAGCTGCACCGTTTTGCACCTTACCAGCACCAGCACTGAAACAATCTCTTTACCTGCTACCAAATCTTGCTATTTTGATTCTAGTCACAATATTATCCTAAAAACTAATATGCCTTTCCACATGTTTATTAAGTGCCTTTGTATAACTTTGGGAGAAAGTTTGGTCTTTACTCATTTCTGAGTTGGAATATTTGGTGTTTCAGTTTTGAGTGTCTTGTTTTTTTCAGGCAAGAGCAGGCAATATTGTATGTTAGTTACTTTTCTGTTGCTGTGATAAAATACCATGACCAAAGATGACTTGTAGAACAAAGAGTCTCTTGGCTGATGGTTTCAGAGGAATAAGAGTCTATCATGACAAGGAAGCATGCAGTAAGCAGCAGGCATGATGACAGGAGCAGGGACCTGAGGGTTCACATCTTCAGTCATAAGCAGGAAGCCAAGAGAGTGACTCAGAAGTGGAGCAAGGCTATATAATCTCAAAGCCTGCCCCCAGAATTCTACTCCTCCAGCAAGGCTGCACCTCCCCATAACCTCTCCAAACAGCATCACCAAATGGAAACTGTTCAAATACCAGAGACTAAGGGGGTACAATTTCACATTCAAACCAATACATCCTGCCTCCAGAAAGTTGTTTTGGAAATGACCAGCCAAGAGTAATAACACAAACCTCCTTGTCTTTGGAGCCCATTGAGGAGAACATTATATCAAAAATCTAATGGGGTGTGCTGAGGATTAAACTATAGGCCTTACACTTGCTAAGCACATGCTGTACCACTGATCTCCACCTAGTGTCCCCTAGAATCATATTATGTTATAGCCACCATATATATGTGCCATCTTGATTCCTTTTCTGGGCCACCCTGTGACTCTAGATGGAAGATTGAGGCACCCAATTGGCCTTATTTATAGTTGATTAAAAAAAAAAGCCCAGTAATACACAGTGACACTCCCTTGACTTTCCCAGAGACCTTCATCTTACCAGCCTCACTAACTAAAAAGGCAATCTTGGGAGGCAGGAAGACTGGCTGAGGAGGCACCACCCAATTTTTTTGTCTGTGGTCCATTTCGCAGGAGTTCTTCTATAGCTACCTGCATGGAAAGTTCAAGTCCTTCAAGAAAACACTGGCTTGGCATTGTGTGTGGTTTATACCATGAAGCCCACTTCTCCAGAGACCGCCTCACCGTCTGAAAGCTTTTGTTCAGATGTGTTTGTGAAGCAGTCACTGTGAGGCCTACACTTGGTATCCTGACCTCAGTTCTATCTTCCATTCCTCCCCTGAGTTTACTTTCTCTTCCAGAGTGTTACAATCACCAGAATGAGTGACAGTACCTGAAACCTTGGCCTACTATATCAAATCAGAGAATTCATCTCCTCCAACATGGCAGGTAATGACCCAATATAGGGGCATTAGACATTTAGCCAGAAATTGATAATTTGTTATTAAAATTTCCAAGTAACACAGATGCGTATATGAATCTTCTTGGGTGACATGGATCACTGTGTGTAATTATTTTCTTTTGTATTTTTTACTTTGTTCATTTCAACCTCCTCCTGAAAAAGAGGGACACATGCCTATCCTGTTTTTGTTCAGAAACCATCCCTGGGACAAAAAGTTCTCAGAAAGGGGGGAGCTGAGGAAATGGGCTTCTATTTTACAGCAAGGTTTGATTCCCCCTTTATCTTTTCCCTCCTTTTGCAGTACTGGGGACCAAACTCAGCACCACATGCTCTATCACTGAGCCACACCACCAATGCTTCTGCATCTACATAATATATCAGGGATACATACATAATTTTACAACTCATTTTTACTCTCATATATAACATATTTATGTCACTTTAAACATGTAGATTTATTTCATCGTACATGTTATAGTGTAGATCTGGGTTTTTCCTTTGCTTTTACAATATTGGTTTATATATGTCAGAAAGCACTGCTGAGCTATATTTTGTCCCTTGTACCTAGCTTTGGATTTTTTACCCATGGTACTACCGATGTTTGAGGCCAGATCAGTTGTGGGGTGACATCCTATAGCATATTTAGCACTGTCTCTGGCCTGTACCCATTAGATGCCAGAAGCACTCCTTCTGCCACCAGTGATGACAGTTAGAAGCGTCTCCACTTTTGATAGTTGTGCCTGTGGCTGGTAACACTGCCCCTAATAAAGAAACACTGATGTAGGTATTTCATACTCATTCTCTTGGCAAGCCCTCAAAGTACAGTTCCTCTATAGCACTGGAGCGTTAGAACATGAAAGAAAACTTAATAATTAATCCAACACATGGAATTCAGATGAATGCCCCAAAACTGTTTGCTTCAAGCTAATATGCATTCTATTCAGGAACCTACACTAGAAAGTTCAAGTCAAGAGTTTAACATCTTGGTTCCAGAGAGAATGTCAGTAAAGTGCTAGCCAAACACACGAGACCTTAGTTCAGATCCCTAGCACCCACACAAAAGCCAGGCACAGGAGCACTCATCTGTAACCCCAACATGCAGATAGAGGCATCCTGGTGCTCTCTGTCCAGCCTGTCTAGCCAAATCGGTTCAATGAGAGACTCTCAAAATATAAGGGAGAAAGCCACTGAAGAAGACATCTGACGCTGACCTCTGACCTATACACGTGTGAACACAGGTGTACTCACATTCACATTCGCGTGCACACACACACACACACACACACACACACACACACATAGATGCACTTACATGTGTGGAAATATGAGAAGGCCAAAGGCTGACACTGGGTATCTTCCTCACTCATTCTCCACCTGATTTTTAAAATTATTATGTATGTGAGTATTTGCATGCGTGTCTGCATACCACATGCATGTCTTGCATAGTTACAGATGGTTGTGAGCCATGTGGGTGCTGAGAATTGAACCCAGGTCCTATGGAAGAATAGCCATTGAGCAATCTCTCCAGTCCCCTCGACCTTATTTTTAAATACAGAGTCTGTAATGGGATCTGCAGCACACTGACCTAGACTGGCTAGCCAGTGAGCTCCCAGTATTCTCCTATCTCTACCCCCACTAGGTACTAGGGTGATAGACATGTGCTGACACCCTTAGCTTTTTGGGTGGGTGCTAGGATCTAAGTTCCTGTCATGCTTATTCATGATAGGAACCATGCCTTCATGGCCTGCTCTTAGAATCTTGTCTCAGTGTCGCCACCAAAAGAGAAGTTCCACATGTCTCCTCTGTCTCCCCCAAGAGACCAGGGCCTAGTTCATCCTATTTTATTTGTCAGGGGTCCATGGACCTGGAGGAGATGGAATCAGAATATGCCAGTCTGAAAGTTGCCATTATTGCTGCCTGCTGCTGATACAGGCACAAGAGATTAATACCTTTTATTTTTGTTTTGTTTTCTGTTACAGAGAAAGGCTAAACTTGTCATAGAGGCAATCCAAACTGGAGCCGGCTTTTTAAAGATTTTAGTTGTATGTTTTCTAAGGGGACATGGTTTAGCTTACTGTATTTATGAATAAAGGTTAGCTATCTTCACTTCAAAGATACAGTTCTGAGGATATGATTACCGAAATCTCCAGAGTAAAAACAAATCGGTTCTTGGGAATTTATAATTTTGAATTTTAAAGTTTGGAGTGTTTGACTTATAAAGTCTATACAAATATATCAAAGTCTGAAAAAAGTCAAATTCTAAATCATTTCTGGTCCCAAGCATTTAAAAAAAAGCAGGAGCTACTCAATTTGTATTAGTAAGCCCAAGTTACAGTGCAGTGTCATGGCACTAAAGTATTCATTATTTTAACACCCATTAAAGAGGTTGCTGACTCCTTTGGGTCAATACAGTGATGTGCCTATACATCACTTTGACCCTAGTCTTCACTGAGTTTTGACAAAAGATACAAAAAAATCTCTTCCCCTGACACAGGTAAGAAAGTGCTCATCATCTACGCACACCAAGAACCCATGTCCTTCAATGGGTCCCTGAAGAAAGTGGCTGTTGAAGAACTGAGCAGGCAGGGATGTGCAGTCACTGTGTCCGACTTATATGCCATGAACTTTGAGCCAAGAGCCACAAGAAATGACATCACTGGTAAGTCCCTGGGGTAAATCATGTCTTAAAATTTTCTGAGATTTATAATTTTTAAAATGTTAACAATATCTAACTGTTGCCCTGTGACATCCCTGTCTCCCAGCAACCCAAATAGTGTGGTTTCTTTTAAAAGAAAGACTATTCTGTTTCAAGTGTGTGTGTCTATGTGAGGGTAGGTTACATATGCATGTGGTTGTCTTCAGAGGCCAGAAGTGAGTATTGGATACTCTGGAGCTAGAGTTAGAGGCATTTGTGAGCCTCTGGACATTGGTCCTAGGACTTGAATCTGGGTCCTCTACAAAATAGTATTATTGCTACCTCTCCAACCCTGTTTTCTGTATATTCATAGATATCTGTGCTAAGTAAGCAAGTATGAGGGTTGCATTAGTAGCTTCCTCGCCTTTCACAGAACACTTAACATAACCAACTTGAGGAGAGATTTATCTGGGCTTGCAGTTCTAGTACAGTAGTTAGATCCATTTGGATTATTGCTGCAATGGCTTCTAAGTACCTGGAAACCTGAGCACAATGAAACTAATTCTGGGGAAACAGCTTCCAAGGATTTGAACATTTTCCCTAAGAAAATGCCTATAGCCTATAGGGCATTGTCTTAATTAGTGATTTAGAGGTGAGGCCCAGCCCATGTGGGTTAGGCCACCTGTGCTGGTGTCCTGGGTTCTATAAGAAAGCAAGCTGAAGAAGCCATAAAGAGGAAGCCAGTACTCAGCACTCCTCCATGGCTTCTACATCAGCTCTTACCTTCAGGTTCCTGCCCTATTTGAGTTCCTATCCTGATTTCCTCCAATGATGAACGGTGATGTTGCAGTATAAGCCAAATAAAGCCTCCCCTAGTTGCTTTGATCATGGTTAGTTACCCTAACTAAGGCAGAATTTGGTATCAGGAGTGGAGTACTGCTGTGACTGATCTAACCATGTTGTTTTGGGGAAGGTTGTGAAAGGACTTTGGAACTTTGGGTGAGAAAAGCGATTGAGTGCTCAAAACTTGGTGAGCTGTGGGAGCTTGGAAGAAAAGAGAGTTGAGAGAAATGCAGACAATGAAGATCTGGGTTGTGAAGTTCCAGATGAAAGTTTGAGAGTCACTTAAAGACTATTGGGACCAATGCATATTTACTATTTTGAATTAAGATTCTGTAGTTCTGGTCAGCTGGGGCTGAAGAGTCAGCCATGAAAACAAGAGACCGGTACCATTGAAGTGACATCTTTACTTTCCATTGAGATTCTTCTCAGAAGTCTTGAGTTTACACCTCTAGTCTTGATGCTATGCAGTGGGGTCACATCTGAGTCTTAGGCCACCCTACCTTTAGGGCCACTTCTGCTACTTAGGACTCTATGGCACTAAGTACTTAGCTTCTCACAAATCTTGGCCTTCTCTCTCCTAAATCAGGAATTACAGTGATCTCATGGGTTGTCAGGAAGATATGCAAAGTGACCAGTGCAGAGCACAGCTCCTGGCAGATGGAAGCACTCTATCAGTGTGATTCTCCCTGTCTTCTCTGTCCTTAGCCTGGTCTCAAGGCTGACCTTCTGGTCAGGTCACAGTAAATCCCCAATGTTTTTGTAAGACCAGACCACATAGCGGTTTTTGGAAGGCTGAGACAAGCTACACTGAGAAATTGACCTCTTCCTTCCTAGGTGCCCTCTCTAACCCTGAAGTCTTCAGATATGGGATAGAAGCCTATGAAGCCTACAAGAAGACAACTCTGACCAGTGACATACTTGAGGAGCAGAGAAAGGTGCAAGAAGCTGACCTAGTGATATTTCAGGTTTGCTTTTTCCTCAGATTAATGACTAGATTCATCCTATGAACAAACACTTGAACATTACATTTGGAACTAGTGTTTTGTTTTGTTTTAGAACATGTACATGGTTACTTGAAATACCTTTCCTAGTTACAACTCTGTTTAGAATACTTTCCTACTTTGATAAAGAGATCCTTATAGTCAATGTTACTCAAAACTCTGACTCCCCAAGTCAGTATGAATCAAGATGTACCCATTGGCTCAGTAGTCCCAGAAGCATCTGAATCATGCCATTCTTTCTGCTTTCATTTTCCCAAAGCCTCTATTCCAGACATGCCAGCTATCTGGGAACCAGATTTCTCTGCATAATTGTTTATCAAGGCAGTTTAGGTCAACTCCTGCATTAAATGCCCTGACCATTAACAGGACAACCTTGTTTCCATTTTCTCATTAGTTACTTCATACACATTAATGAATACACACACACACACATACACACACACACCCCGCAGATTGATGAATATAACTCAACAAGGTGAAGCCACTACAGAAGGAACTAGACCTATAGACTGGCTTCCAGAAGCACTAACTCAATCTAGTCACTCCTGCCAGCAGTGGACAGGATGCAGTTAACATGTACATATAATCTGGGAAGTCAGTTAAATGTTGACTCTAGAGTTGTTGCATTGATGGAAATCCAAGTCAAACTCAACAGGAAGTGGAGCTAAGTATTTAAGGGCTTGTGGTGATATTTTTGCTTATGATATAACAAATAAAGCTTGCCTGAAGATTAGAGTGCAAAGCTAGCCACACTAGTTAGTCATAGAGGCCAGGCAGTGGTGGCACACACTTAATCCCAGCACTCAGGAGACAGAGGCAGACAGATCTCTGTTAATGCAAGGCTACCCTGAGTTACACAAAATTGATCCAGTCTAAAAGAGAAACCAAGCTCACATAAACGTGATCTCAGCACTTGGGATCCCACACCTTTAATCCCAGTGCTAGAGAGGAATATAAGGTGGGAGGAGACAGAAGTTCAGTGCAGTCTGAGGCAATCTGAGGAGCAGAGCAGCCGAGAGCAGTCTGAGGACAGGATCACCCCTTCAGTCTGTGCATTGGTCGAGGTGAGAGCTCTCTAGTGGCTGGCTGATTTGCTTCTCTGATCTTCAGCTTTAACCCCAATATCTGTCTCTGGGTTTTTTGTGAATCATGCTACGAATCCTCTAAGCAAAAACAACTACAGCTGCACTTCTGGAGTATTCTACTTTCCCCAGATTTCCATCCTGCAATGACTTCACTGATGACCAAAAGCCAAGTTGAGGAGGAAAGGGCTTATTTGGCTTACACTTCCATATTCATAGTCCACCTCATAAGGAAGCCAGGCAGGCACTCAAATAGGAGGCAGGAGATGATGTAGAGGCCATGGAGTGTTGCTTCCTGGCTGGGTCAGCCTGCTTTCTTACAGAACCCAGGACCACCAGCCCGGGGCTGACACCACCCACAATGGACTGAGCCCTCCCATATCAATCACTAATTAAGAAAAAACCCTACAGGCTTGCCTATAGCATGATCTTATGGAGAAATTTTCTTAATTGGGCTCCCTCCTCTCAGATGACATTAGCTTTTGTCAAGTTGACACTAAACTACCCAGCACACCACGTTGTCACTGACTACTCTGTGGCTAATATAAGGAATTGTCATCAGGAGAGTGTCACAAGAATAGCAACTGAACCACAGTTAGCACTACCCTTCACCCCACTGTACCATGCTGTGCCTCACTGAGCTGATCCTGTCTGTAGGTTACCTTTGCTTGCTGGGTGCCCGGGGAGGAGAGGTCAGTGGGACTAAAGTATGAATCCTGAGACAGCAGAGTTTGTTTCTGCTTGCTGTTCCATCCCCAGTTCCCACTATACTGGTTCAGCGTTCCAGCAATCCTAAAAGGCTGGATGGATCGGGTGCTGTGCCAAGGGTTCGCCTTCGACATCCCAGGCTTTTATGACTCTGGTTTGCTCAAGGTATGTTCTCTGGGGATAAGGATCATTACAGATCCTTCCAGTGGGAGGAAGGTGAGGGCATCTATCAACTTATATTTATAGTTTGCATTTTTGTATTAGGTAATATTCATTAAGCACAGCACACTTCGTAGATGATAAGTGCATCCTTTTCTAATTTATAGAACTTTTTTTTTTTTTTTTTTGGTTTTTCGAGACAGGGTTTCTCTATGGCTTTGGAGGCTGTCCTGGAACTCGCTCTGTAGACCAGTCTGGCCTCGAACTCACAGAGATCCACCTGCCTCTGCCTCCCGAGTGCTGGGATTAAAGGCGTGCGCCACCAACGCCCGGCTTATAGAACTTTTTGATAGTGGGGGAATATGCATCTACACTAGTCTACACATAGGCAATGGAAATATGGGGTTGGGTACTGGGCAAGAGTGAAATGGGTAATGACATGGACAGTACCATCTTCAGCCCCAGACTCAAGGTATTGACTCTATGATGGTCTGGCTGGTCTTATGCTAGTTTACATTTTAGGGTTCCATATGCCCACCCTGGGTTAGGGAATAATCACATACCTCCTATATTTTAGGAGAGGGTTGTGAAATCTGGTAGGTACCAATGCATATTATCTGTAAATGTCTTACTGAGAGAACTTTAAATTCTAAAAGCTTCAAAAATTAAATGTATGTAAGGAAAATGAATCAAGTAACCAAGACACTGACCTCCATTGCGTGGTGATCCTGTGTGAGCTTCACTCACCTTCCTCTCAGCCCCGTGGTCAGTAACTTGGTTCTCATGGTGTCTGTGAAACCTGGTTCCCTCCAGAAATCTTCCGTGTTAGAATTTGATTTTCACTTGTACCTTTGCTGCCTGCTCTGTTCCCATTCCTGATGGGGCATTAGCTGTCACCTTTAGATGGACCTGTGAGACATGGGGTATTATATTTGTCTCTCCTGGAAGGAACCTGACTTCTGACTTCCTTCTGACTGTCATAAACCACTGTACAACATCACATGATGCAGTCACATGATGCGTTTACTTTCTCCCCTGCCTGCAGGGTAAATTAGCTCTCCTTTCCTTAACCACTGGAGGTACAGCTGAGATGTACACAAAAACTGGGGTCAGCGGAGATTTCCGGTACTTCCTGTGGCCACTCCAGGTAAACAGACCTTGCGAGCCTCCCCTGCTTTGATGGTGCACCCGACTCCCCCGCTCCCCACTGCATCTTACACACACATACACCTCGAAAGCTTGACACGCCATGTGACTCCCAACTAGATAGAGAAAATAATATTTTATCCTCGTTTCATTTTTTAAGTTGGTGACAGTTTCAAGGCTGGCTAAGAGGAAAGACATACAATTTTTGATAATGCTTGACCTAAAGTTAAGCCAAACCTGATTAGTCTGCTGCTGTATGCTTTATGGGGATTGTGATAGCCCTGAGGTGGCACCAGCTATGCGGGTATGAGTGATGAGAGCCCTCCTGCAGAGCCCTCCCCAGACTTACAGTGCTCTATGAAGCTAGTACCACCCTTAGCCTTGGTTAAAGGTGCTATATAGCCCCTGTGACCCAGATACCTTCACCTGGGGCCTCTGGACACCCTGGACAGATGAGTGGCTAAAGAATAGTCACTTACTGAGGGTAAAGGCAATAGTTGAGTGAGTTCCAGCAGGCTAAGATGTTCATGTGCATGGAACTCCCCAGTGAGGGGAAGAGAATAAGAGGCAGACTTCATAACAAAGATTTAGGAGACCTCGAGAGCTAAATGGATGTGCTCTTGTATTTGGTGAGGAGAGATACCCGTTTAGGTTCAAGGAAGGTTTGTACCTACTAGCTGGAGTGATTGCTTTTGTGAATGCAGACATTATGGACAGAAGATGCAGGTTTAAGTCTGGGGTAGAGTAAGTGCTGAGTGTACACGAAGCCTTGAGTTTGAGCTCCAGCTCCCTGAAAGCTAGTTGTGGTAGTGCACACCCATAATTACCACTTGGGAGGTGGAGGCAGGAGGAACAGAAGTTCAAGGTCATCTTCAGCTACACAAGTTTGAAGACCACCTGAGGGATAGGAGTTCTTGTCTCAAAATGATAAGAATTAGGAATTGTCCTATTTCTTTCTGGGTTCACATTTCTTACTCCACATTTCTGCTGAGACATTGGAATTTTTTAACTGATTTGTCAGCTTTCTCTATTAGTGAAATTATCCTGTTGTATCTTTTGAAAACAGTACGAGTTTCCTTTATATAGATAACATATTAAGTTCACTTCTTGTCTTTGTTGTTTGCCGTGTGTGTTATAGATGTGTATATGTGTGTGTGGTTGCATTTGCCCATGCATGCATGTATGAATGCTACAGATCAATTTAAATATCTTTCTTGATCACTTTCCACCTCATTTTCTTGAGATCACATCTCTCACTGATTCTGATGCTTGCTGATTTGGCTAGACTGGATCAGTGAGCCCTGGGATCTGCCTATCTTTGTCCCTCTCCCCACATACACTGGGGCTACAGATCCATGTTGCCACACCCAGCTTTTTTATGATTGCTAGGGTTCCGAACTCAGGGCCTTATGCTTACACAGCATGCATTTAACCATCTGAGCTGTCTCCCTAGCCCACTGTTATCATTTTAAATTCAATCGTCTAAAAGTTTTATATTTGTGGAAGCTACTAGTTTTTCTCTTTTTCTCACCCAGTACATTTGCTGGGTTCTCCTACTGATGATAATTGATGTTTTAATTTATTTGTTATAGCAGAGGGGAACATGTCCGTGCCACAGCACCCACATGGAGGTCAGAGAACAAGTTTCAGGAGTTGGTTCTCTCCTTCTACCATGTGGGTCCTAAGGGTCAAACTTAGGTCATCAGGCTTCCAGCCTGTGCCCTTAGCCACTGAGACATCCTACCAGCCCCATACATTACTTTTTAAAACAGATTTATTTTCATGTGTTTGAGTGATTCGCCTACATTTTGTACATATGTATGTACATCACATATGTGCAGGGCCCACTCTGGGACTGGAGTTAGACACCATTGTGAATCACCATGTGGGTACTAGTAACCAAACTCTGGTTACCAGCAAGAACAATAAGTGCTCTCAACTGCTGAGCTACTTCTCCAGCCCCCAGTAGTGGATTTTTAGGAGCTGATTTCCAGTAAATAAAATCCTGTCATCCGGGAGAAACTAATGTAAAAACATGTTTTTTGTCCTCTAACTCCACCTGAGAGGGAACACTTGGATAAGGGTGTACGCTGTGAAGAGCATAGTGCAGAAGACCAAGTGTAACATTTCTAGGAAGAAGCTAGGCTCTTTTTGAAAGATGATTACAATCGGTGGGTTAGCGTTGCTCTATTAAGGGCAGTTACAAGTTGCGAGCCTCCTTCTCTGAAGGCTAGCCATTCTCAAACATGTCACCAACTAAGCATAAATCTTGTTTTAAAAATATGTACTTTACCCCAGTTTATAACAACACATAGTGAAAGGAAAGGTAAACAATATAAAAAAATTTTAAAGTTCACTTAATATACACCTCCTGAAAGAATTACTTGTAATTCATTTCCTAATGGCCTAGATAGATCCTTACATTAAAAAAAGGTTGATAGTTTATTAATGTTGTAGATAAATAGTATACAAGAAATACTGCTTACAATTTGTTTTGATTAACAAGAAGGTCAACAGCTTTCTACAGCAGTGCTTCATAGCTAAAATAACCTCTCTGTGCATAGCATTGAAGGTAGCAGAAGGTAGGTAGCTACATCAAAACTGTAATGTTTAGTGATGAACTCATTAGTAAAGATCTACCCTGCAGCTATCCAGAGGTGGGTTGTTTTCAGTTACTTTGTAGCTTGTGTTTCATTATTCTTGAAGGCTTCTTCACTTCATTCCCCCCTATACTGATCTATCTGAGTGTACATAAAGAGAGGGGTTATGATCAGTTCTTTCCTTTCTGTCTTCAGCATGGTGTATTGCACTTCTGTGGATTTAAAGTCCTTGCCCCGCAGATCAGTTTTGGTATTGATGTTTCATCGGAAGAAGAAAGAAAAGTGATGGTGGCATCATGGGCCCAGCGGCTGAAGGGCATCTGGAAGGAAGAGCCTATCCTCTGCACGCCCCCTTGGTACTTCCAAGAGTAACCTTGCTGCTCTGAGTACAGCTAATGAGCAGCATGGTGAGAGGCCTAAAGCATGCGCAAAGAGAAGGTGGTGCTGTATCCAGAGATGCAGCTAACGGTGCACATCAATGAGTGTTTCCAGTTTCATGCAACCAGATCAGATATTTCAATAATTAAAGAGAAGGTGGTGCTGTATCCAGAGATGCAGCTAACGGTGCACATGCAACCAGTTTCATGCAACCAGATCAGATATCTCAATAATCATTTGGTGCACTGTATTTGTTCTGCCTGGTCATTATTCACTCGCTTATTTTTAATTTCTTTAATGTTTCTCTAAACTCTCTTGCTACTCTAACCCTCCATAGTATAGTTTTCTGAACATGGAGGTGGATTTGTTTGTTGTTTCATTTTGTTTAACTTGTTTTTTTTTTCCCCACAGGGAAGATGAACCCATTTATATCTAATGTTTTAGTGCTAAATTTTGATTTATTTCTGCCTTTTTTGACTGGGGATTATTATAATGTTTTAATTGAAATAGCACTCTAACCTTTTTATTATTAACAGTAAGGTTTTGTTAATCATTTCATACATCAAAGCCTTTGATAGCATTCTACCAATATTCACATAGTTATATATGAGTAACTCTGAATAATGACCCTGAAAAAATAGGCACAGATATATGGAGACATCTCCTACCCTTCATTGTCAGCATTGCTGAAGACAAGACTGTTGCTAGCACCCAGGGCCTTTCTTCCTTAGCATTCTCAACACCACCCACATCCCCCTCATCAGAATCTTCACTAAGTTTCCTGTTAGAATTGTCATCTTCAAATGACTTCTATTTGCAGCTTCTTTATAATCCTTTCCACCACTATGCTCTTCAGCAGCATTGTCAGACCCTTATTCATTTTAAAAACATTTATTGTGTGTGCACACCCATGCCAGTGAGTATGTGTGTGTGTGTCTGTAAGTTGTAGTAATTTGAATGAGATGGCCCCATAGGCTCATGTTTCACTACTTGGTCCCCAGTGGGTGGAATTGTTTGAGAAAGATTAGAGGGTATGGCCTTGTTGGATGCAGTGTGTCACTGGGGGCAGGCTTTGTGGTTTCAAACGCTACCACCATCTCCAGTGTGCCCGCTTTGCCTCTTACTTGTGCATGAAGATATGAACTTTCAGCTGTTCCTGCTGCCATGCCTTTGTGTTGCCATCATGGACTCTAATTCTCTGAGACCATAAGCCCAACTAAATCTTTCTTTTATGAGTTTGCTTTGTTCATGATATTAATTAATGCAGAAGTCAAGGGACAACTTGCAGAAATTAGTTCTTTCCTTTTAGCATATTCCAGAGGCCAAATTCAAGTCACCAGGCTCTGAGCCATCATGCCAGCTCCAGACCCTTTTCATCTGTATTTTCTTCATCTGTTTTGCTGTCATTAGATGTTTTTCCAAATATATCTTTCTTTGTCTTCTAAGTCTTTTTCATCAAATACTTACTCAGAACCTTGGCTTCCAAATTCTGGTTTTTCAGAGACATTTTTCCCATTTGTTTTCAAGACCACTTTTTTCTAGCTTTTTATTTAAAAATTTTCACAACATATTGATCATATTCTTCCCCTTCCATAGCTCCTCCCCATTTCCCTTGCCACATAACTTCATATTCTTGCTCTCTCTCAAAAACCAAGGGAGAGAAAACAAAAAACAAAATCTAGTAAGACACAAACTATCAAAACAAAAGCATAACAAAAAGCCCACCAAAGTAAAAACTGGGTGCTGGGTGGTGGTGGCGCACGCCTTTAATCCCAGAACTCAGGAGGCAGAGGCAGGCGGATCTCTGTGAGCTCGAGGCCAGGCTGGAGTCAGTTTTATGTTGGGCTGCCCTGGACTGTGATTGATAGACCCAGTGACACTCCACTGAAGAAAACTGATTTTCCCTTCCCCCGTAGGCATCAATTACAAATAGCTTCTTGGTTAGGAGTGGGATTTTGCACACCTCCGCTTCTCAGTGTGGGGATTTTGTCTGGTTTGAACCTGTGTAGGTCTGGTGCTTAACTGTTTGTTTATGCACATGAGTTTTTGCTTGTATCTATGTCTGTGCACTACTTTTGTGCCTGGGGCTTGCAGGGGCCAGAAGAGGGTACTGGATTCCTCAGATATTTGTGAGTAACCAAGTGGATGCTGGTAACCATACCAAAATCCTCTGGAAGAGGAGTAGTACATGCCCTTAACCACTGAGCCACCTCTCCAGCACCATCTAGTTTTTTTGAAAGATATTTCCTGAGGGGAGTGAGTAATGGAACTGAGAGGACAACTTTCAGGAGTCAGTTCTCTCCTTCCATTGGGTTCAGAGACTGAACTCTGCTTAGCAGGCAGTTTACCTGCTGAGCCATCTCACCAGCCTGAAAGTACATTTTTTTACCATCCTCAAGTTGTTTTTCAGATCTTCAGACTCTCCTTTTGTTGTAGTTCCCTTTCTGTGACTGTGATAAAATACTCTGACCAAATGAATGGTTTGTTTTAGCTTACAACCCCAGGATATGAGTCTGGACCGACAGCTCAGCATTTGCTGCTCTGCTGAGGTATGCAAGTTTCGTTTCCAGCACCCATACCAGGTCACTCACAATCAATCACCTGTAACTAGGAGATATGATACCCTCTTCTGGACTTCTCCAGTACTTACCCTCATGTGTGCAAACCTACACCAAGATACACATATTTTTAAAGATCTTTATAAAACAAACAAACAAAAACAACCACTATACGTCATAGCCCATTGTTAAGGCAAGGCAAGGCAAGAACTCAGAGGGAAGGCAGACATGCATCTTGTTCCCTGAATTTTTCTTGGATGTTATTTCATGCCTTCTGTGACAAACATTGATATTCACTTTCTAAGACCTGTCTACTCTTGTTGGATGCCAGAACATAGCCATAGAACCCAATTTGGTCAGTGTGCCCTGAATCTGGATAGTGCCTTCTGCCTTGCTTTCATGCTTTCCCAGTTATCATCTATAGAACATGCCAGTCAATTGTGTTTAAATTGGTCTGTCCTGAGAAAGTTCTGAAGAAGGGCTGCCCTATTCATATTTAGTATATGCTTTCTGACCTTTATTTACATGTTTTTCTGAACACAACCTTATTTGGATTATTTCTCTTTTTGTTACATTCACGTATAAAAGTACACTGGAACTGAAGTAAAGTAATGTTGTCTATAGATTGTAGTTGCCTTAGATTGTAGTCCACCCCATTCTTTTATGTCCTCAGATCCCAGATCCAGCAGACAAGATCTACTTAGGTAGGCTGAAAAGTCAACACTTTTTTAGAGCATTGTAGTATCTTAAGTATCTTCAAAATTTCTTCATCTTCTGTGTGTCCTCCAAGAATCTTCTTAGATTCTTCAAGTGCCATTTCAGTGGTAGCTTCTTAGGTATGCATTCTGCACATGCTAGGCTGTCCAAAGAATCTCTACTCTAGAAATCCTGCTCTAAATGAAGCTAAGATGCCATGGAAATACTGCATGCCTGTGTTGGCTCCAGTAACAGGCAATGAATCCTCCTATCAACTCAGCCTCACGGCTGAATGGGGTTTTTCAACCACCAAGCCTCCATTGAAGGTTTGAATGCAATGACTTGCTGGCCTCACATTCCTCCAACATCTGGAAGTTAATCTTGGGCTTCTGACCAATAGCACTTTTTCAGTGGTTACTACTCTGCTATCTCGTCTGTGAGTGCAGAAACAGGCCCTAGCTTTCAATAAGGAAATTCAGGTTCAGAAGGCCAGGGAAAAATAGGCAGTCCCAGGAGAAGTGTCCTAGACATGCAACCTTGTCTCTGTCATGACTCAGGAATGGGTTTGGCAATTCAGATTGCCCAGTTTGCTCAGCAAACTGTAGCCACAGGAAGCCTGGAAGGTGGAGAGACAGCAACATTCATTTTTAGAGTCTCATTCTGGGGCACTTGTGAATGGCTGGACCAAAGAGTATTAGGAAGATGGAATTCTTCTACCCTGGTCCCACAGCTCCCCATTTCCAGTAGTGGATGAGAGGATAGAAATTCTGAATAGAAGGAACCCAGTTTTCTGAAGTCAGTATACTTTGGGAGTTGATATCCTCAGCTTGGCCTCACGTATTTATGGACATTATTAATTTTGCCTCCCGAGCAGAATCACTAGCAGTCCCAGAGTTAAGACCTTACTCACTACTAATCAGCTATGTCACCTTCATTGCCAGGGTAGTGGGAATCACTGCTCTACAAACAAAAGGAAATGACCACAGTCAAGGCACCATTTCCTTAGGAACAGAGGGCCTTTGTGAGTTTGCAAAATCCTTGTCTCTGTGGAGTTCTGTTCCCTAAGCAACTCTGAGTAGAGGTGGGCAATGAAAAAGGAAGCATTGCTCAATGTAAGAAAGTAGGGGGAGTTTTGGGGGAAATCCTAGCAGCTCCAGTGTCCAAGGAACAGAGATGCTGGCACAAGACTCAAGGTGGAGATAATAAGCCCCCATACATACCAAAAAGTAATAAAATGCAGGAATCTAGAATAAGGTGTTTGTGAGCAATTCAGGGATGGCGGATGGATGGCGGTAGAATGGTATCTTTGGAGAAACCCATCTTGTTCTACAAGGCCCTCCCACTGATGAGTGTACCAGGTCAACAGCCTTGCCTTTAAAGTACTGGATTACATCAGTACTGAGCCTCCTTGCTGGGACAATAGTAATTGGCGCAGCACCACTAAGAGCCATCTGGCAAGAAAACCAAGGGCTCTTCTATGGCTGGTTCTCTGACCAGGCATCCCAATCACAGACAGAATTCTAAGGAAATACAGAGACAGTGAAATTATTTTAGAAACTAAGTGCTGTTTGGGTTTTGTTGTTTGTTAGCCATACTAGTTGTAATGGTGAGGAAAAGTATTTAACATGCACATGTATATATAGTGGATGTTTTACATTCCAGGAGCTGCTAATACTTTTTAGTTGTGTGGAAGCTCATTGAATCCTTGCCATAGCCTTGTGAGCAAGTACAGTTGTCTCACCTTACAGTCACAGAAATTGGAGCACAATTAGATTAAGACTCTTGCTTCAAGGTCCTAGCTATTGAGGTGCATGTGGGATTTGAACCCAGACATGACTGTCTACTGAACTGGTATGTGGTGCTGTGGACACTTGTCTTAGCTCATCTCACATATCTCCCTGGTCTTTCTGATGGCCAACACTGATTTCCCTTTGGGTATTTTGTCCTTATGCTGAACTATGTTGTTTTCACAGTTGTGGTCCCTCCTTGTACCCACTTATGGCATCAGACAGACCTGATAATCTGTGTTGTATGGCTCAGAAATAACCCAAGCCAGCAAGTATCAGACCTATGAGAAATAAAGCCTTTTCTTGCTGTAGGACCTGGAGTTGTGACACTGTGAGTCACAAGCTATACATAGAGAGTGTCAGCCTGCAACCAAAGCCATGCTGAAGAAAAGACTGCCCAAGCTATAGAGAGGTAACTTCTGGTGGCATCTGCTGAAACATGAACCTATGCTTGTCTGTAAGAATTAGTCATCAGCTTTCCAGTTTAGAGCTATGCAATTTATCAAAATCTTTTTCTCCCTAGATGGGTTCAGTGTATAGCAGTATCTAATAAGCAAAAGGAGAAAAGTATCTGTCACTGTGGCAGACTGGTGGGGGTGGGAATCATATAGTCCCAGTATGACTAAGTGGCCTTAGGTGGACATATGCAGTTTGTGTCACTGCCTTATGCCTTGGTGATGTCCTTGGGCTTTGCTGCCTCAGGGCACCATGCTGATGTGAGTGACATGTAATCACCCGAGGCCATGTCAAGGCTCATGGCCCGTGCAACCACTGAGGGCATGAATTGGTCAGTGGGCCTAATAAAGCCAAGAGCCATATTGATGTCTATGGCCCATGTTACCACCGAAGCTCATGTGGATGCCAGCGATCTGGACTGCTGCCTGAAGCCATGTTAACATCCATGTGTGCAGAAGACCTGGCCCTACCCATCATGGGAAGAGCTGGCCCTCCCCCTCAGTAGCAGCATCTGTACTCACATGTGTATATACACATACATACATACATACATGTTAAAGAAATAAACCCCAGCTCTGCTTCAGACTGGCTACTCATGAAATTATATTTTTGTGTCAAGCCATAAATCCTAGTTTGAAGATTAGGGAAACTTCCTTGGACAGTGGACTAATGCAATAGAACAGTGCATTTAGAAATAAGCCCACGTAACTGCAGTCACCTGATCCTGGGCAAAGAAAGAGGAAAATTCAACCTCTTATATCCACATGTAGAAGAATGAAACTAAATCCTTGTCTCTCACTATGCAGCTTAAACTGTATTAAATGTAAAACCTGTTTATCCAATAAGGCCACTTAGTCCATGATGTACCTGGGGCTACAAAAGAGCTCTCAATAGAGGGATGCTCTCTCAGCCTGGACATATGGGGAAGGGCCTAGGTCCTGCCCTGGATGAAATGACAGACTCTGGAGATCCCCCAAGGAGGGCCTCACCCTCCCTGGGGAATGATGTGGGGATTGGGTGGGGGCTGGGGGACTGGTGGAGGGACAAGTGAGGAGGGGTGGGAGAGGGAGCTGGGATTGACACATGAAGCATTCATATTTCTAATTTAAATAAAAACATTACAAAAAAAAAAAAAAAAGACCTCCCCAGAGCAAAGCAAATAGGTGTGATTGACTTGTTCCTGAATACTTGGGGCTGTGCATCTGCTGCCCTCTGGTGGCAGTCTGGAGGTAGCCTTGGGTTCATCTACCATGGGCTAGAGGGCACAGCTCCTTATAGGATAACTCTTAACTTCCTGAGGCTTCTGCACACATTTAAGTCATGGGTTTCCTTTTTGCAGCTGTATGTTCTGACATTCAACCATTCCTCTACCTCTGAGAAAGAAACCACTGGGCCTTTGGTGATCAATAGTACATATTAAGCCCTAGTTCTAATCAGAGAAGGGAAACCAAAACTGGAAATAAAATACGTTGCCTTAAAAGTAATCAAAACCATGTCCCACCTCAGAAAAACATTAATAGCTACCTGATAGTACCTTCTAAGGAGATGCTCCAAGAGCTGACCAATTGAATCCTTTTGGATCGAGCCAAAGGCAAACCTTGTACACTGTTTCCTATGGTATGGCAAACAAACTAGGCCAGTGGTTCCCAATCCTTTGTGGGGGGTAAAACAACCCTTTCACAGGGGCCACCTAAGATAATCAGAAAAAACAGATATTTATATTAGGATTCATAACTGTAGCAAAATTATAGTTATGAGGTAGCAACGAAAATAGTTTTATGGTTGAGGATCATCATAACATGAGGAACAATGTTAAAAGGTTGCAGCGTCATGAAGGTTGAGAACCACTGCCTTAAGCAATGGTAAGAAATACTAAGTCCATCATCCCAGATTAAACAAAGTACAGCTAAAGAGTGGGGAACACAGTTGGGAGAACGGCATTAATCCAGAGCATCTGTTCTACTTGAAGGATGAAATTAGTGAGTAGGTCTAAGCACTGATATTCTGGAAAAATAAGGACCATCAGGCTTTCACCACTAGAAACTTCCTCTAATTTCTGCCACAATAAAAAAAATCAAACTATAGGTATCAAATTACAGGAAAAATATATTCTGAATATTTTGTTCTCACACCGAGGAGTTCCTTTTTAGTAAACTGGTACTTAATTTTCTCTCAAGAACATTTAGAGTGCTATTTACTCATAGGGGGTAATTTCTGCCAATTCTTTCCTACCTTTGTTACTTCAGAGGGAGCTGTTGGTTCAGCATGGGACTCAGGCCAGTCCAAGAATGTTGTACTTCTGTGGTATTCAAAAATGACTCTAGCTTCTGGGGCTGCATCATAACAAAAGAAAAATCAATAGTGGTGTGATGAGACCAGAGGCCACAGACTTCTGAAGAGAAAAGCCCATTCACCACATGCCCCTTGGTATTTTGGGCAATAATGTACAACACTGAATTAGCTATAAAACATACAGAGTTGTCTAGAAATAATGCAAATGTGAGTTATAAGTGTATTGTCTGTCAGCTACTTAATATCTACTCTTAAAACATCCTTCATTTGGGAAGGATTCTGGAGGGGCAAGAAGATACCCTAAATAGGTTCCAGGACATGTGGGATCTGCTATGTGGAATAAGGACCTCTATGGAGCCTGCCTGGTCACCGACCTGGGCCTAAACCAACCTAACACTGGCCACTCTCTCTGTAGAGAAGCCTTAATACCACCTTTGTTCTACCTGGTCAGAGGAGTTAGCAGACATACCACAACCCTTATACCCCCTGACCCTTTTCAGAATGCTTCCTGCCTGCCTACACTTCCCATGGTTGCCTACTGCTTTTCCTACCATTCAAGACCAGTGCCAGGCTTAGCAAACCTATTGTTGGCTAAGTCACACATTCTTCAACAGATCTAAGCCCTCCCCTGGGTGCTTTCCTCTTTGTTTAGACTATGGTCACTCCTCTACCATAGTTAATTCTTCACATGATGCATCTTCAGTTTAGCTGGGTGTGGTGGCACAAGCCTTTAATTCCAGCCCTCTGGAGACAGAGGCAGGTGGATCTCTATGAGTTCTCAAGGTCAGACTGATATACATATGGAGTTTCAGGATGCACACATGAGGATGACTCTATTACATTACAGGAAGGGACACTGAACTTGGGGGTTCTCTCCTCTTAAAGAAAGCAGAAGGAAGCTGTTCTTCATAGGAGTGAGATGAGATGTCGACTCATTCCTTGGGGTTGCTTGCTCCTTGCAAATATATCCTAAGAAACAGTCCAGGTAAAGCAGTCAAGTATTTTTGAGATGCTCAGTATTAATATTTACTATCAACTTAAATGGATTTGAAATTACCTGAGACACTTTCCTGGGCCTGACTATGAGAAAATTTCTAGAAGTTTGAGAAAATCCATACCATGAACAGGAGTCTCAGATTGAATTAAGGGAGAAGAAACCCTACAAGAGTTTGGGGTATCAGTTATGAAGGTGGAGGAAATGGTGCTTTGCTTTGGCCTGATTTTCCTTACTAACCTCCTATTCTTTTGGAATGGTAATGCTTATTCTGTACCAATGTACACAAGAGTATATAGCTTCAAATTTTATTTTATTTTATAGGTGTTCAGAGTTAAGAGCATGCCTTGAGTTTCATATGAAACAGCAGACAGCAGGAAGTCAAAGACTTTCTCAGGGGTCCTAAAGAAATGACAAAGTGAACTTTAATTCTATGTCCTTGTCTAGTAACAGAATTGGAAAGGCTGGTTTGACTCTGTAGCCAGGGCTGACAAGTAAAGGTTGCAGGTTCTTTGGGCACCCAACTCTTCCTCTTGGATGTGGTTATCAGTCCTAAGGCAGTTGTGTCTGAGGTATTCTGTGTTCTCTTTGCCAACTATCTGCTGACCTTGGCCAAAAGTCTGACCACAATTTTCCTTCCTGAAAATAGTATATAAGATGTTGTACTTCTTAATAAGCTTGCTTGGCATACGCTATCAGCTTATATAGAACAAAGAAAGAATATTAAAAAGCTACAAGGAGAAAAGTGCAAATAGCATATAAAGGTAGATCTATTAGAATGATACCTGACTTCTCAGTGGAGACTCTAAAAGTTAAAAGGGCCTGGACAGATATCCTGGAGACTCTGAGAGACCACAGACAAACTACTATACACAACAAAACTTTCAATCACATGGAGAAAACAGATATTACATGATAGTCAAATTTGAACAATATCTATTGATAAATCCAGCCCAAAAGAAGATACTATAAAGAAAACTACAACCCAAGGAGATTAAATGCAGGGAATAATCTCACACCAACAAAACCAAAAGGCGGCACATGTGCACGACACACACACACACACACACACACACACACAGGTACATGCACACACATACACAAACATGCACACTCCACACCATCACCAGCAACAACAAAATAACAGAACTAACAATAATTGGTCATTGATATCTCTCAATATCAATTGACTCAACTCCCCAATAAAAATACTAACAAAACAGGTGTGAAAACAGAATCCATCCTTCTGCTGCATTCAAGAAACACACCTCACTATCAAAGAAAGACATAATCTCAGAGCAAAGGGTTGAAAAAAAGATCTTCCAAGCTATGAATCTAGAAAGCAAGCTGATATATCAAAAGAAATAGACTTCAAAACAAAAATTAATCAAAAGAGACAAAGGACTTTGTTCTCATCAAAGGAAAAATCCACCAAGATGATGTTTCAATTCTTTTTTTCCCTTTTATATATAGTCCTATATACAAATGACAAAAGGACTGAGAAAGAAATCAAGGAAATAACACCCTTCACAATAGCCAAAAACAATATAAAATATCTTGGAGTAACTCCAAGCAAGTGAAAGACTTGTATGACAAAAACTTCAAGGTTTTGAAGAAAGAAATTGGAGTCATCAGAAGTTAGAAAGATCTCCCAAGCTCATGGTTAGGTAGAAATAATGTAGTAAAAATGGCCATTCTGCCAAAAGAAATCTACAGATTCAATGAAATCTCCATCAAAATTACAACACAGTTCTTTACAGACCTTAAAAGGGTAATACCCAACTTCATATGGAAAAGCAAAAAACAAAAAACAACAAACAAAAAACCAAAAAACAAACAAACAAACAAAAACAAGGATAGCTAAAACAATCTTGAATAATAAAAGAACTGTTTGAGGTATCAACATTCCTGATTTAAAGCTGTACTACAGAGCTGTAGTAATAAAAACTGCATGGTTTTAGCATAAAAACAGACATGTTAATCAATGTAATCAAAGACTCAGGCATAAATCCACACACCTATGGACACCTGATTTTTGATAAAGAAGCCAGAAATACACAATGGAAAAAAGACAGCATCTTCAACAAATGGTGCTGGTCTAACTGAATGTCTGCATGTAGAAGAATATAAATAGTTACCACTGGGCACAAAACTCAACTCCAAATGGATCAAAGACTTAAACATAAAACCAGATACATTGAACCTGACAAAGGAGAAAGAGAATAGCCTGGAACATAATGGCACAAGAGAGAACTTCCTAAACAAAACACCAATAGCACATAGAGTATAATCTACAATAAATAGAACCTCATGAAACTGAAAAGCTTCTGTAAGGCAAAGGATACCACCATCAGTAGAACAAAAAGGTAGCTTACAGAATGGGAAAAGATTTTCAACTACATCTGATAGAGAACTAATATCCAAAAAAAATTAAGAGCCAGGTGTTGGTGGCACACGTCTTTAATCCCAGCACTCAGGAGGCACAGGCAAGCAGATCTCTGTGAGTTTGAGGCCAACCTGGTCTACAGAATGAGTTCCAGGACAGCCTCCAAAACAATACAGAGAAACCCTGTCACTAAAAAAAAAAACAAAAAAAAAAGAACTCAAGAAACTAAACATCAACATACCAAATAATCCAACTAAAAATGGGATACAGATCTAAAAATTCTCAATACATGAATCTCAGATGGCTGAGAAAGAAATGGTCAACATTCTTAGCCATCAGGGAAATGCAAATCAAAATTACTTTGAGATTCCATCTTATACCTCAGATGGCTAAGATCAAAAACACAAATGACAGCTCATGCTGATGAGGATGTAGATCAAGAACACTACTTCATTTCTGGTGGGAGTACAAACTTGTACATCTTCTATAGAAACCAATATGGCAGTTCCTCAAAAAATTGGGAATTAGTCTACCTTAAGACCCAGCTATACCACTCCACTCTTGGGCATATACCCAAAGGGTGCTCCATCCTACCATGAGGACACTTGTCCAACTATGTTCATAGCAGCTTTATTTATAATAGTCAGATACAACCTAGACATTCTTCAAAGAATGTATTAAAAAATGTGGTTCATTTATACAATGGGTATTACTCAGCTGTTAAAAAATGACATCATAAAGTTTGTAAGAAAATGGATAGAAGTAGAAAAAAATTTATTCTGAGGCAACCCAGACCCAGGAAGACAAACATGACATGTACTTACTTGTTAGTGGACATTAGCTGTCAAGCAAATGGTAATCATGCTACAGTCTACAGACCAGAGAGGCTAAGTAACAGGAGGGCTCTAGGAGAACACATGGATCTCTCTGGGAAGAGGAAATCATAGATTTTGGGGTGGGTGGAGATGGGAACAGGAGTGATCAGGTTGGGGAGGGAGGGATGGAAGGAGAGACTATGGGGAAAGATGACTGGAATAGGGGGTCACCTGGGAGACAATGTAGAAATCTAGTGCAATGGAAGCTTCCTGGAACCTGTGAAGGTGACCCTAGCAAGGACTCCTAGTAATGGAGGATATGGATCCTGAACAGGCCATCTTCTGTAACAAGGAAAGGCATCCAGTGGTGTGACTGGAACACCAACCAGCCATAAAACCTTTGACCCACAACTTGTCCTGCCTGTAAGAAGTACTCAGGCAATGGTGTCTCAGAGGTTATGGAAGTGGCCAACCAATGACTGGCCTAACTTGAGGTCCACACCATGAATGGGAGCCCATGCCAGACACTCTCTGGATGGCCAGGAACAGAAAGCTAAATGGCCCAGAAACCTAGGGTAGAACCAAACATTGGTAAAAAAAAAAAAAATCAAATGATTCCTAATGATATTCTGCTATACTCACAGACTGGTGCCTAGCTCAATTGTCATGAGAGAGGCTTCCTCCAGCAGCTGATGGAAGCAGAAGCACAGACACACCCAAACATTAGGTAGAGAGCTCAGAGAACCCCAAGGAAGAGAGAGGTATCAAGGACACCAGGAGAACAAGCCTGCAGACAACTAAGCATGGTTGATAGGGGCTCACAGAGACTGAAGTAGCAATCACATA